CATTGGTTAGTGAAATTATATAGGTTTCAAATGTACAATTATATATCATTTATATATTGCATTGTGTGTTCACCACCCAGAGTCAGTTCTCTTTCTGCCACCATATATTTGATTCAACCACCCCCAGCCCCCCTGACCCTCTGGTAACTACTAAACTGTTGTCTGTGTCCATGAGTTTTGTTTGTTTTTCTTGTTCGTTTGTTGCTTTCAGTTTTATATCCTTCGTCTTTTACACTGTCTCCTTTTGGAGTTCTGCGTTCCCGTCTGGAAGCAGGCAGTTCAGACTTTGTGTTCCTCTAGATTGGCTTCCTGCCCTGCTCTATTTTCTGTGTATGTTTCCAGGACCCAGGGAACAGTGGGAGCTAATAATACATCCCCCTTAAACTGATAATCATTATCAATGGCTGTGAGACAGACCAGGGGAAAGTGTACGTTTTCTGCAGAATGCCTCTGGCTCCTCTGTTGGACTGAGGCACATTCACATATTCACATTTCACATTTCAGTACAAGTCATCTAGTTCAGATATGTTTCAGGTTCCTGGGCAATTGCCCAGCTATCCCATCTCTGAATCCAGTTCTGTTCTGTGTCTATTGAAGGCATTTAGAGATACCTAACTCTGCTGAAAATGTACCCAGTCCCTTTTAACTCCTTTTTTTATCCTCTGAAGTTTTCAAAATGTAGTGTTAAATAAATAAAAGTAGTGGCATTATGGAGTGTTAACTGATTCAACATGACTTCCATGCATGGCCTTTAGAACCCGGGTGTCCCTGGTCAGCCAATCTGATGATATTTGTTGCACACCTACTGTGTGCCAAGTACTGGTTTGCTGAAAACCACAGGTGATGGAAACGTCACATTTGTGGGCTGCAGTTCACCTCATTCCCCTTTATAGGCTAGTGGTTTCAGCGGAAACTTGTGAATGTTTGTACTCGGTGCTGTTGGATACAGCCTAAATAATTGCCCTGAGATCTGAAGTTCTTGAGCAACATTAAAATTTGATCACACAGCAATACATAACAGGAGTTGTGTAACTTATTCTAAGGAAATTATTTTTTTTTATTTTATCTAGATATTTATCCTAAGGAAATACTTTGAAAGAACAAATCTATCTGTGAAAAGATGTTTTTTAAGAGTACTACTCTTAAGAACCAGAAACTGGCTATAACCCTAATGTCCATCAGATAAGGAATGCTTACATAAACCATGAAAGCTCAATTCAACAAACCATTATACATCCATTTAAAACAATAAACAGGTAATAGTCTTGTGGTTAAGAGCTTTGGTGTGGACAGTGTCACAGACTCTGTCTTTGGGCACATCTTGAACTGGGTAAACTTAAACTTATTTTTTCTTCAATAAATTATGGATAATGATAATATTAGGGTTGTACAGAATTAATGGGAAAAGAAGAATTTAAAATGCTTACAGTGATTGGCACTTAGTAAGCATGCAATAAATCTTAGTTATAATTACACAAGTAAATGGAAAGGACAAAAATGTAGCCACATTTAACCCATATTGTGGACTTGGGTAGTAAGGTTGAGAGTGAGAGAAATGAGAGGTTAGATGTTAAAAATGACAGAGAACTGTTCTCCAGCACTGAGTTTTCTGATATGCAAGAGGCAAGGCTCCTGTGATTTTGTCATCCAGATTGACAAAGAGCAAAGTGAAAGAAGAAAGTAAGAAGTGTCCTGGAGAAAATAATGTGTTGTTTTAGGAAAACCTTTTTTTCTAGACATACTCTGCTAGGAGACCATCCTGAGCGTAGAGTTAAAACAGTCCAGCCACTCTGGTGGGAGAAAAGGCTAGTTCTGCAGGTTAGAGTGGGCTGGGAATTCTTTTTATACCAGTTCCTCATAGGCTCCCATAGTTTCAACAAGTATTTATTGAAACAAGGTTGGCTCATGTGACAGTTGGCAGTATAGCAACAGTGGCCAGAAAGGTTAGCAAAACCAGAAGGAGGTAACTAGTGGGTGCCCATATGAGCAACTGCGTTTCCTTAAAGATGAGGTAATCAAGGCCTACCTCATGGAACATATGGCCAACAAGATAGCGTGTGCAAATCACAGCACAAGGAGAGAAAGGAATCCAAAGGAATCCAAGTTCATCAAAGCGTAGTTCACGGTAGACCTGTGTAGCCATTGAATGCAGTGGCAGCAACAGCCAGACTTTTTGGTGGTGAAGATAGCAAGAGAATGCAGAGGGATCCTGAAAGACATGCAGTCCCCAAAGGACGCACACGAGGTGCATGTGATGCGGATTGAGGACAGAAAACACCACACACACACAAAAGGATGAGGAGATCAACACTGAATCCTGCTCTCTAGCCGCTGGTCACCAAAAGACTTTGCACATTCCCAAGTGAGACCTTGCTGTGTGTTGTATGTACATGCACCTAACTTGCTGTTTGGTAAACTTGCGCAGAATTTACTCATATTGCAGTTCTCACTCAAAGTTCAGTCATTGCCTAAAGCATAGTATATTAGTCGGCTCGGGCTGCCATAGTTAAATACCACAGATTGGGTAGCAGAAACAACAGCGATGTATTTCCTCACAGTTCTGGAAGCTCCAAGTCCAACATCAAAGTGTTGGCAGGGTTGGTTTTCCCTGAGGCCTCTCTCCTTGGCTTGCAGATGGCCTTTTCTTTGTACTTTCTCATCCATGTCTCTTCCTCTTCCCATAGAGACCAGTCAGATTGGATTAGGGCTCATTCTAATGGTCTCATTTTAACAAAATCACCTGTTTGAAAGTCCTGTCTCTGAGGTACTGAGGATTAAGACTTCAACATATGTTTGGGAAGTTGGGGAGACAATTCAGTTCATAACACCCAGCTTACACCTCTTCAAGTGATGCAGACCACATATATCCTGACCTGAGAGCACTCAACTGATCACTTGTCATTTTGCGATCAAAGCAGAGTCATTCTCCCCTTGACACAGTCACCCTGGCTGGCAGATCTGCAACTAAGTGTTGCTAATTGGTGCGAGAATCACTGCCTCATCAGCTAGTCTGACAATTGTGGCCCACCCATGAAACCCTTCAGACACATTAATAATAGTGTGAAAGGTACATGTAAATAAGGATTAAGAGAGCCATGAATGTGTACTTACTGTATTTAGATGGAGTAATTCTTTTGTTTAACAATTTAAATATTACAAATTTTAAAGCTAAGCAAAAAAATAGGGCAGAGGGAAAAGGTGGCTGTCTGAAAACAGGTCACTCTGTGACAACTGTGGTAAAATATAGAGAGCTGGGCGAGAGGGAGCTGGGAGCCCATACAGGATTCACGCCTTAGGTTCAAAGCTGAAGCATGGGCCTCCCACTCAATTTTAGCCCTTTCTTGAATTCCTACTTTCCAATGTTAAATACTATTATATGTTGTATTGCATGTTGAAAACCACTAAGGGCAGTGTCTCCAGGTAATACAGTTCTCTCTGAAACCCCATTCCACTTTCTCTCCAGGAGGAGCTAGGAAGATAATGGCACCTTTGCAGACTATAAATCACAACCTTAGTACCAAAAGTCAGTCTTCCTCTTAGAAATCCACGGAAGTAATGCAAGATCTGTAATAATACCTGTGGACTGACATGGGATGACAGATACTGGAAGGGTAAGGAGAGCTTTTATCATGGTGCTCTGTTACTCTTTTCCTTGACGGATGTCAGTTTTAGCCAGGGTGACACATTGGCACTGGCCATATTTTGGCATCTTGCCCTTATTTGAAGGCTTATAAAATATGGCTATACACATACATCTGCCAGTCTTTTAAACTACCTAAAATGGAAAGGCTTCCACTTCCCTTATGCTTAAACAAATAGTTCACATCCATGAAAATTAGTTCTAATCCTCCTTGCTCTTAAAACAAACACAACCCAGCCTAAAATGATTTAAAATGTTTCCACCATTCTGTTGGCAGTTAAGATCGCATTGCTTTATGAAACTCCTTTATTGTCATGTTGAATAGTTATCTGAAGGTTATGTAGTCAATCAAGTTTCCTCAGTTTAATTGGTCTTCCATATTTAGTCCACCGAGGTCAAGAATACCTCCACAATTTTCCATTTCTCTCCTAAATCATCACTTTATCATCTCCACTGGATCATTTCCATCAGCGTACTAGAATAAAGTGGTTTTTTTCTCATGTTAAAACATGCTCTTGACCTCCCTCTCCTTTCCAGCTACCTCCAGAACTCCTCAAAAGACTCATCTGTAAGCACCGTCCCCCTTACCCTGATTGAGGTGGTAACTTCTCCATTTTTCCATTATAAAGGCATATTTTTCTTCCTTGTAGTTAATAATCTTTGGGATCATACTTTGAAAATGTTTGTTCTGTTCTTTAACAGTCTTTCACCCAGGGGGTTTAGAATCCCCTGATGATTCTTGCTTGAATCAGTTATTATTTTAGTGATTGCAAAACTGGTGATTTAAAAACATTTATCATTCCTTCTCCATCTCTTACTTGGCATTCTGCATGATAACTCTGAAAGCCACTGAGCAGTAATAATTGTCACAGAAATGCATTTTGCTTTGCTCCCCAACAGATGAGTTCCTGGAAAATTGCATGTAACTGAGATATATATATATTTCCAAAGGAAAATTTCAGAGGTATATTTCCATAGGAAAAAAGAAATTCCTGTAGCCTTATAAAAACTATTTAAGAAAGGACAACTTTTAATATGTTTCAACAGGTAAAAACCCTTTAATAAAATGTAAACAATCGTAAGCAATCAACAATATGCAATATTGAAAAGATGACATTGTGCATTATTATGACCTGGTGATGAAGATATGTCTTTTCTTGCTGGAAGATTATTTATCAATTTTTTGTTACCAAAAATGAATTTCAAATATGATTTTCTGACATGTTTGATATTTGGTGGGACATCACAGGTACTTAACATTTCATCTTCAGTGCTGTGGTCAGGTTACTCATCCTTCGGGCCTCTACTTTCTCATTTGTAAATTGAGGCGGACAGATTATAAGATCCTTTCAAATCCTTAATGTTGGGTGATTAAAACATTTATTATGTAGGTTGGGTTTCTGCCCCTGCCCCCCACTATTGACTAAAGAGAGTACAATTGACCCTTTAACAACCTGGGCCTTAGGGGTGCAGTTGAAAATCTGCATATAACTACTAGTTACATGTTTGATACCCAGCCTTGGATCAGAAATACTGTATTGTCCTAGTTACATTGTTTACATTCGTTGGAATAAAAGTAAGATAGAAGGAAGAGAGAGTAGAAGGAAACAAAATGTGGGCAAAAACCATGAAGCATAAGAATAGATTATGCATATCTATTACAATTCCCTTGACTCCACACCCACACTGTACTCCACGTCCCGTGATGACTGGATTAAGAAACTGTGGTACATTTACACAATGGAGTATTACTCCGCTACAAAGAAGAATGAAATTGTACCATTTGCAATGATATGGATGGACCTAGAGACTATTGTGTTAAGTCAGTCAGAGAAAGTCAGATACCATATGATCTCACTTATATGTGGAATCTAAATAACTGAATAAACGAGTAATATAAACAGAAGTAGTCTCAGAGACACAGAGGGAAAACTGACGATTGCTAGATGGGAGGGGGGTGGGGATGAGGAAGAAGGGGAAGGGACGAGACCACATGAATTGGTAACTACAATATTGCCTCAGGGATAGAAAAGACAGTTTGGGGAATATAATTAATGTTGTAAATATTTTGTAGGGTGTCAGATGGTCACGTGTCTTGTTAGGGAGACCACTTCATGGATGGGGTAGAGGCTTGATCACTGCACTGTACACCTGAAGCTGATGCTGTATAATATTGTATGTCAACTATAAGTGAATATATATGTAGTCACAGGATGTGGAGTATAGCGTGGGAGTGGAGTCAATGGAATTGTAATAGACATGTGTGATATGAGGGGGAGTGGGGCAGCGGATTGGGGGGAAGGGGTTGTCACTTTGAGGGGTAAAATGTATAACTGTTGCACTGTGTAGCTGAAACTAATTTTAAAAAAATGTTTCTTTTACACACACACACACACACAAAATAAATTTTTAAAAAAAGACTAGGTTATGGCGGGTCTCATTTCCCTTTCGGGAGCATATGCTATAGGAGTCTCTTCTTTTTTTCACATAAGACAATTTTTTTTAATAAAGACTTCGCTTGACAAACAGAATTAGAGATATCTTTATAAACCCGCAGGGGACAGGAGTTTAATAACCCACTAGCTCTTTGTTCTTTTCTCTCCAATCACTTGCTACTCCCAGCTGATCCTGATAGTAACTACTCCTTTGAACACAGTAATGGAAGAAGGATCGATTTCTACCCTTAGGTATCTGAGGAGAATTTATTCTTCACTCTTTCATATTTCAGCTGCCTCTTTAGCTTCTGTGCCCCCAGGGCAACTAGAAAACGGGCTCTCTACTTACTACTTATTTCTTATTAAACTAAAGACTCAATTAAAGTATTTTGTACAGAGCTGTCTAGTCCCTGTGAAGAGTGAAGGAGTGAGAGAGAGGGGAAGGGACTGACGTTTTCCATGAGGTGATAGTGCACTTTAGGAGAGAGGCTAAGGCAGAAAAAAGGTCAGTGTGTATTTTTGTTGGAATAAAAACATTTTATTTAACAATACAGGGTCTGTGACAAAGCATGAGCCATCTCTCGCCGAGAGTGAATGGCGAAAGAAGCTGACTCCAGAGCAATTCTATGTCACCAGAGAAAAAGGAACTGAACCGGTAAGCTAAACCGATTTACAGTTTTCTGATTAAATGGGTTGGGGGGATTGGACTAGATCTAGTTACAAAACCTAAGTCGTCACCACCCGCTCTACAAATCTGATCCTCTCCATTGTTCTTTGGGCATCGTTCCCCATCCTGCCCTCTGCCCTCCATCACCGCCCCCGCCCGCTTTGCCTCCTGAATAACCTCCCAGTCGTCATCTCTGCCCGCCTCCCTGACCGCCACGCCGGTCCAGGTTCCCACAGTCTCTCGCCTGTGACTGCGGTAGCCCCCCAACTGCTCTGCCCACAGGCCTTCTTGCTCCTCATCTAGCCGTTCTCCACACAGCTGCCGAAGAGAGCTTTTCGAAACACACGTCTGACCATATTACCCTCCTGCTCAAAATCCTTTAGTGGCTCCCCACTGCTTTCAAGGTCAAGAGAAAAGTTTTTAAATAGCTAATAAGGCCCTCAAGGCTCTGGTCCCTGCCTCCCACTCCCCTCCTCAAATCCTGCCACGTTTCCGCTTGATCTCTGCACTGTGGCCACACTGGCCTTGCAGCTCTCAAACGCCCCGGGCTCCCTTCTCCCTTAGGACCCCCACCCTGTGTTCTCCTCTTCCATCACCGCCCCCCAGTTCGCGCTCAGCCCAAACCTCACTTCCTCAGGGAAGCCTTTTCTCAGCCCCAAGCTGGGTTTGCCCTTACCGGCCCTTTTCCTGAATAGCATTTGCTGCCGTTGGTATATCCCTAGCAAATCACATGGTGCCCGGCACTCAAAAAATAAATTTCTGTGAATGTTGAAAGACTGCAGGCCAAGAGGTGAAACATTTATTTACACTGCATTCACTAATCTCAGCTTTCATTCATTGCCTAAGAGAAAAGTCCTTAGTGTTTTTTTATAATAGTACCATTTTTACAATGCTGCATTTCCTAACAAATGGTGTATCGTAGACCCATCTGGGGCCACTGGGATACAGCTATTGAACTTGGTTATTAGAAGCTTTCATTTGTGAAGCGGACTGAACAGAGTGAAACCCAGCACAGTGGTTTTGTAAAGCTGTGGAGTATGTCTTTACTTTAGCAGTCCCTGCAAAGTTCAGGTCGCGGTCCATGTGACCTCCTCATCATGGTCTCACCCTCAGTTTCTCTGATACGAAAGTCATCAGACAGGCGAGCAGATCCCAGTCGATTTTCCTGGAAGACGTATTCTTGAAAACTGCTGTGGGTGGGCTTTTAGTACAGCCTTCACTGGGAAAGAGACTACATTTGCTGTTATACGTGATGCTCTGTTCATTTGTGTGTATTCCCCAAATATTCTAAACCAGCCCAGTTCTCAGGGACAAAGCCAGGCAGAGTTTGTTATATGCACCGAGCTTGGAGATGAGCTGCCAGATGTTTTGGAGAATAAATCTGTAGGATTCTCAAACAGATGGTGCAACATACTCTGCGCATTTGGCCATTTTAACAAGATGAGCCTCATCCGTTATTTTAACTAATGTTATAAATCCCTTTCACTTGATCCATTTCCACATTAAACATTTTAGAATATTGCACAACTATAAGCCTTTGTTAGCTTCATGAGGCTAAGGAAAGAGAAGCAAAACGTCTAAACTTTCTATTTGGTGACTCAGAATTAAAAGTCAGTTACTCATGTTTTAATTGGGCAGCAGTAACATGGCAGCACCCTGCAAGGTATGACAAAGGAGTTTACAGCCTAGTTGAGCAGTAACTAAAAATCAGGTATCAGTAAAGGTGGGCTTTATGCAGCCTCTGCTCTGTCTGCCCTCCAGATCCACTCACGTGCCTCACTCTGCTGTGAGCCCTGGGAAGAGTAACTAGCTCCCTTGCCCTCTGGCCACTGATTGAGTTTGGCCAGTGGGAGATGCCAGCGAGATCAGATGGCAGGATAGAGAAGTCGGAATCCAGGGTCCTCTCTGGAGCTGGGTTCCTCCAATGCAAGTTGCAGCTGCTGCAGGCAGCCTCACCTACAGCTGCAGTGTCACAGGCTCTGGTAACTGCCCCTCCCTTTGTCCCACAGGCTGTGGTCTCACAGTCACTGGCCCAGGGTGCTTCACCCTCCCTTGTTGGTTTCCATTGGCCCTGTCCCCATCTTTGTTAATAGGTCTGTATGAAATTATCTGCAAATCATCCCTTTTCAGGGTGTCATCTGTTTCTAACAGGTATGTTGTATTGACAAGATCAAAAAGAAGAGAACTCCCATTGGTCCAATCAGAATGTCAGTCAGCTCGGGCTTCTGAAACAGAATACTATAGACTGAGTGGCTTAAAAACAAACATTTATTTCTCACTCCTCTGGAGGCTAGAAAGCCCAAGATCAAGGTGCTGGCAATTCAATGAGTGGTGAGAGCTTTCTTCCGGGTTTGCAGAATGCTGACTTCTTGCTGTGTCCTCACATGATGGAGAAAAGGAGCAGCTTTCTCTCTTATGTCTCTTCTTATAGGGGCAACAATCCCATTCATGAAGGCTCCACCCTTGCGACCTAGTCACCTTCCAAAGGTCACATCTCCAGACACCATCACATCGGGGATTAGGCTTCAACAAACATTCAGCCCATAGCACAGACCTGCAGACCCAAGGGGTACCTTGATTGTCATCCTGTCTCTCACCCTATGCCCCATCCTATACCGTCATTTCAGTTCTCTCTTCTAAATAATTCTTGAATTTATCCTCTTCCTTTTATTTCCACTGCTCCTGGCACAGCTAAATCCAGGCCTGCATTCATGGCCGTTTGATTGTTCTTTGCCTCCAGTGTCTTTTTGCCCTGGTTCCATGTGGATGCCGCGTGCACACCCAGTTTGAGTTTCCAGTGGCTTCCCATTTGCAGCTGAAACTCCTTAGGCTGGTCTCACCAAAGCCCCTTATGATCTGACCCTCTCTGCCTTTCCAGCGCCATCTGTCTGGATTCTCCATCTCGCTCTGTTCTATCACCTGGGCCATGCCCAAGCGGCTCTGCCTGTCTGAAATACGCTTCCATTTCTTCACCCGATTAACTCTTACTCATCCTTCACAATGCAGCATAGTGTTTTGGCATTTTCTTATAAGAAACATCAATCAGCTGTATAATTTTTTAAAATAATGAAAGATTTAAAAAAACAAACACACCACCACCCTGATCTCAGACATCACCTGGTACAGAAAGCCTTTGCAGAAGCTCCCCTAGTCATGAAAAGTCTGGTGTTACCCACACCCCCTGCTCGTCTCCCCCTCAGAGCTGTTATCACATAGAATGGTAACTGGCAGCTCAGATGTCTCTTCACATCTAGGTAGCAAATTTTCTGAGTGCAGGAACTGTGGGTTGGGTTTTTTTCTCCATCTCTACAACCTTAGCACCTGGCCCAGCACTGGGTACATACTATGTTTTCAGGTAAATACTAGAATGATTGGCCCTGAATAAGTGCGAAGACATGTATAAGATTGGGGACGAGGGGAGACTTCAGGAAATCAGGCAAGGAGGCAGTGCACAGGTGTCATTGCACTCAATATATCAACTAAGGATCCCTTTTCTTTTGAAATGTTAACCGTAATACCAGTTCTCTGTCACTTCCTCTGTCCAGCCATCCCCTGCAATGACAAAATTCTATTTTGAATCTTAGGCTGCCTGGATCCTATGAGTAGGCTTTTCTAGATCAGCCTCAGGACCGGGAGCCCTTGGGCATGTGTGTCTCATCAGCCCATGTGGGAGGGACATGAAACTCCTTCCTCATTGCAGATGCGCATTCGCACCAGCGTTGGCAGCAAGCATTCAGGAACGGGCCACCAAAAGACCTGCTCACTACTGTTCGGATTCCTGCCACTAAGTTTAGGGTCTTTAAAGAGGGAAAATATCCAATGTGCCCAGAGGCTAGGCTCAGTAGGTTAATTTGAAATTGTCCATTATTTGTCTCACTGAAAATGTGCTGCTAATACCACCACAGGGAATCTGAGTGTTTGGCCTGTGAGTTTGTTGAGTTAGCAAATCTAGAGCGGCTGGAAGAGTCCCGTGTATTTCGCAAGTCAGCTCTGAGACTCCGTGAACGGTTCTGTGCTTACATTTCTCTTCCATCCTATAAAATGGGGCAGGGCTTCATAGTTGGCTTCTGTAAGAGTTTCTTTTTCTTTAATTTTCTTTGACAGAGGAGGAGATAACAAGAGGAATTGGGCAAAATGTTCTCTCTTTTTTTTTTTTTTAACAATAAGATCTAGTTTGCAAACACCATTTAAAAGAAAAAAATTGACTGCTCACTCCTTGCCTGAAGCCTCCTTGTGCTCCACTTGGGAGACCTTTAAAAACCTGCAAACTCCTGAAGCCACAGTTAACGCAGGAATTTTATTTTACGTCCTCACTTAGGCACTGGGAGAACCTAGCTCATTATTTAGCATCTATTAAGTACGCAGTGTCCCAAACACTGTGCGAAATATATTAAAGGCACCACCCCGATCCCACTGAGCTACGCTTTTTATGTATTTATATTCTGTCTTTAATTGGAGATTTCAAAGTGTTTTTGATAGTGGACGAGATTCCTGTTGTATTGACTCTCGAAATGGAGACTGAAATCTTACACAATCCAAAGGATAGTTCTCTCCCCTTTTCACGGACTTTGATGTTCCTGGATGAAAGGTGCTACCTTAATACAAGGCACCATTCATGTCGTAATTTGAATATTTGGCACAATAAAGGCCGGGTTGTAAATAAGCCTGTGGGCTGCTTCATTGGGTGCGTTGTAATTTTCTCCCTGGTGATACTTGTCAAATTAGTACAAAAAGTACTTTATTTGGGGCCTTAATTGTAGATTTACATCTACTGTATCATCTCCTGCGGATGTTCTCAGAAACCTGAACATGATGTCTCTAATTGACTTTCAGCCTTTCAGTGGGATCTACCTGAATAACAAGGAATCTGGAATGTATCATTGTGTGTGCTGTGACAGCCCACTCTTCAGGTGAGATAAAGGATCAAGAGGTTCTGAAGGAGAACAGACCTCTTCATTCCTTCAACTGTGTCGCATGTGAGGCCTTGGATAAATGCACACCCATGTTTTATTTGTCCTTGTTTGTCATGGTTGCTATAAGGAGAGCTATTTATATAAGATATGTACTTGTCTTAATTATTTCTAGCATTTAGAGCAGTTAACAAGACTTCTTAAGCCTATATTCTTCCTTTCTGTATCCTCGAGAAATAGCACATAATAAAACTTGGCGGGTACCTTAAGAGAAAGCTATTAGAATTTTTTTTCCTGGGAAGTATTTAGAGAAATCCAAACCATAATGGTATTTCCTTGGCCATGTGATTAAAACTATATCTCTCCCAGGGAAAATGGATTTATAATTAAATTTAGAAAATGTAGAATTTTATGAGGACAGATTCCCCACAGTGCTTGACAGCAGTGAATAGCAAGCTTTCTTGTATGGAGCTGAAAGTAAATTTATTGTCCCTTGATTTCAAAGCCTCTTTTAAGTCAGTCAGCATCTGAAATCTTTCAACAAAGGTTTTTTTTGTTTAGACATGCAGGAAACAGCCTTAAAAAGTAGATTCGATGAAGAAGAAAGAAAAACATCTTTGAAGTCTTCTTTTTCAGAACTTCAAAGATTTTTTTTTTTTTTTGCTTTTACATCAACCCTAAATTGATTTAGAATAAAATATAAATCAAGCCAGTTCTGTGGATCGTCCATGAGGAAATGTGTCCTTTGTGTCCTTTGGGTTTTGAGCAAACTGGGCTTTCCTACTAAATGTGGGCTGAATTTGGAAAACCAGACCCTGCCTGCAAGGACGAGGAAAGGTCAGGATTGATTTTCCTTCATGCTCACGGAAGGAAGGCCTCGGCCCAGGCTCACTCACTCTGTCAGTGGCTGTTGAGGAGATATCTAAGATGGCAGTCAGCCCTGGATGGGTCGGGGACAACTAGGAGAGGAAGGTTAATGTCGACACTGTCAAATGTGGATGTGTATTTCTGAGACATGAGGTATGCCATGACCTTTGGTTCTGGTGAAGAGAAGTAGGACGTTGAGATGACCAACCTGTTGTAAAAGTGTCAAGAACCGTGTTTGAAAAGTGTAAAGGATGCCTTGTTACTATATGGTAATCAGACAGATGTTCTGTTTCTGTCTTCGGACTGTGAAGACCGAAGGTCATCCTTGTAAGAGCCCCTCCTACCTTGCATTCTTCATTTTTTTTCACTTCATTGGTGTTTCAGTTTATGCAGTAGTAAAGTAGAGACCTTCCGACCCAATGCCAGCCATCCCATCACCGCACAGGTCAGGCCCCAGGATGTGGGAGCAGGGAGGACCTGGGGGACCAGAGCAGGAAGCTCGATCCGGCAGGACTCTGCACTGAGGGAGAAGCCCCGTATCAGCTCCGTCCAGTGGGGTGAGCCGCTAATCTCCTGTGGCTGCTGAGCACCCGCAGTGTGGCTAGTGCAGCTGAGAAACTGAAGCTTTTGTTTTATGTAATTTTAATTCATTTAAATTAAAAGGCCACAAGTGGCCAGTGGCTACTGTATTAGCACAATGTTAGTCCAAATTAAGTGTAGTGACCAGCCCCAGGTCACTGAGGTAGTAAAGCAGCCAAGACTAACGTAACGGGAAAGCCAGCCAATGCTCCAAAAGCCTGCATTCCTACTGGCCAGCTTGCCGAACCAGTTCGCCAACCTTGTTTGTTTCTTTTTTAATCATTTACTTTCAGTTGAAAAGTTTTTATTTTCTTGTCTTAAGGGCTTTTGAGTTTGTTTTTTGTTCCAGTTTCCTACTGCTGCTGCTGCTGCTGTAGTCAAGACTAAAAGAAATAAGAATATATTCATAAGAACCATTTAGGTTCTAGACTATACTCTTCTTAAAGATACATTTGTTTATAGAAGAGACTGTGAAGTAGAGTGGTTAGGGCTGCCTAGACGCAACATCCTGGATCCATTGCCATGTGACCTCGGGCAAGTTTCCTAACCTCTCTGTGACTCAGCTTGCTCGCCTGTAAGATGAGCACGATAACAGTACTGAATTCATAAGGTTGTGGGGAGGATTAACTGAGTTATGAGTGACATGCGAAGGCACCAGAGCAATGCCTGACACGCCACTCACTCACTCTTAGCAGTGTTCGCAGTGATATATCCTTAGAGATAGGTCTTTTTTTTTAGGGCTATATACATGAGTACATATTGAGAATATATGCTAATTAAAGAAAAATCTATAAATGACGATATTCCTAAGCATGCTTCCCATTCAAGAGGGTAGTCTTAGGAGTATATTCTTGTTTTGCCTCTCATTTTCCCCCTCCCTCTGTCTCCTGTCTTCAGCCTTAATAATATGGAGCAGGGGTAGAGAAAAATAAACATTCCCTCAACTGCTTGTATAGAGTCAAAGGGTGAAAAGTCAGTCAACCAAAGCTAAATAGAATCACGGATGTGGGACCATGGCCTCTGGGCAGCTGGGCTTGTTGCTGCCTGCGCTTGCTGTCACACGGAACTTACATGGTGTGTGTTCTAGGAGAGCTGCCGACCTCCAAAACAGAGACCTTTAATCCAGGGTTTCCAGGGTCAAGAGCATCTCAGGATGTTAGCGTTCCCCTGGGGACTCCAGACTGCCGTTAGCCTTGGAATCGTGTGACTTGGTGCCCTCCCCTGTTTCCTCTCCTCCCCTCCCTTCTCATTCCCTTCAAATGCCAATCCTGGAAGTGTTCATTAAAATCTGTGGGAATCACATGTTTCATGGCCATAAATCTTAGAAGAAAATAGAGAGCCTGAGATTAGTTCCCTTTTTACATTACATCTCAGTGTCCCACATGTTATAAGTAACGAAGTAACATTGTTTTAAACCCCTTTTGGGGCTCCCATTCCTTCAAATGAACAGAAATTCTTCTAAGATGTTGTCAGTTATTGCCAGATGCCTTTGTTGTTGGTTTGGGGGCTGTGGAATTTCCAGAAATAAAGAAGAAAACAAAATTAATACAAAACTAAACAAAAGACACTGCTAAGAGCACATGAGAAGAGATGATCTAGAATGGTTTTAGTGGGCTTTATAATCCACTAATCATTTCAATATGTATATTGGGATTTCTCATTGGCCTTAATATTTAGATTGCCAGTCTTAAATTCTGTATGGCCTCTCATACTACTTGGCA